AATTTGAGTTCATCAGCACCCTGAACTTCCTCATACTTGTGAACAGGGAAGTTATATATTCTCTGAGGATTTAATGACTTTAATTATGCCTTCTTGTGACATATATGACAAGATACTGCCTTCCTGAGGTCATCTTGAGGTTTCAAAGTTGAAAAAAAAAATTATTAATCAATATACACTACAGTCAAATGTTTGGACACACCTACTAATTCTTTATTTTAAGAAGGGGAGACTGTGACAACAACTTAACCCCAACAACTTGTGTTCACTGTGCATAACTGTTGTCACATATGTGCAGAAAATGCTACAAAAAAACAAAAACTAAGAATGTGCAGGAACAGGCTGATTTTTTTGAAAAACAGTGGGCAGTTTAACTGATCAGAACAAACGAGAGCCTCATGAAAAAAAAACTGCTGTAGATCATGCATATAATAGCAATAAGGTAAAGTTCACTAGTTCACTTCCTTTTTCCACAGCACAGGATGTGTTCAATAAAGACATGAAATATTATGGCTGTTTGTGTGCTGTTAGCGTAATGTTTGTCTGTCATGATATTTGATGACCAATTAATACAGAAAACCAAACAATTCCAATAGGTTCACATACTTTTTCTTGCCACTGTATGTCTAGATGAGTTTAGAATCTATGTGGATACAATTTGTGATTGTAAAAATATTGAGGTCATATTTTTGAAAATGTGAGGACATCTTTCGAAATGTCCTCAGTATTTAAAATAATAATAATTATTATTATTATAAACTTGCCAAATCATGGTTTGCTTCAAATCTAAGAAGGTTCCTTTAATAAGGCTTAGGTGTTTAGGTTAAGCATACGTTACGTATTGCAAATATAAGTAAGATATTGCAAATATCATTGTACAACAGTTGTTCGGGACCTCAAATTTTGATTGGCCAGTTCCAAAGCTGCACATTAGAAATTCTATCAGCCAGGTCAATATTCATGATATTGTAGGTACTGATAAAAATCAGTTATTTCTGATTTCTAACTCTATGGCTACAATAAGATGACAAAACTAAGAAATGATACTGATAATGTGATCTCTAATTATAGATCAACTAGCAAAGAGATCTAAAATACTGAACACTAAAATATTGAAATAACTTTCATCGCCCCCATTTTTTTTTAAAACAATATGATGAAGCCCACATAAAAGATCCCTCTTGCCAATGAAAACTGGATCATTACCCAAAACCAAAAGCTAATTTAAGTGAGCACTGTGTCGTTCCTATGACAACATTTAATATCACTAATAGGAATATAAAACCAACAGTGGGAACTAATCTGAAGAGATAATATTTGAGGTACACATCAGTGCTTCTTAACACTGGGGAAATGAACAGAAGAATATAAAGAATTTAGAAGATGTTGTCGACTAAACAGAACTGAAACAGCTGTTATTAAATCTCACACATGTTGATGTTCAGAAAAAAAAATCAAGTTTAATAAAAACAATAATTTGTAACAGTTTATTTTACAGTGTCCTCATTTGTAAGTCGCTGGACAAAAGCGTCTGCTAAATAACTAAATGTAAATGTAGTAAAATCAAGTACATTATGCATACTTAGAAGCAAGTAATCCTAAACCTAACCTAGAGTATATACATGTTGTCAATTAATATTGCTCAGTAACAGGGACACCTTAAAATAAAGTGTAACCTAATCCTTCAATAAATGCCTTATGAGATTTAATTGCATCTGTCTGGAGAAAAAAATTGAATTGTGGGACATCACTTTTTGGCATCGATCAGCATGGTTTGGGAGCTGCCCAAAATTTCAGATATGAGTTCTGGTTTCTGTGGTCAGTCTGGTGCTACTTTAACATGTTGCATCAAACTCTTTGACTCGACAGCTAACAGATAAAGCCAAACTGACACACAAGAGACAACAATAGCATTGAACTGATGTAAAGAAGTACAGAGAACTACTTGATTTCATATCAACTCAAGCTACAGTATAGGACTTAAGCAGATTCAAACTGTAGCTTGGCATGTACTAAACTGCTTATTTGCGCATGAACTATGACCATCTAGTCATGCAGTCTATTCATGTAAACATACTGCAAAAAAGTACATACTTGTAAAACCTTGTATTGTCTTCTGAAGCTGTTAAAATAACACTCACTGTTGTGTTAAGGAATAGCTCACCCAAAAACAAAATGCTTTTGTCATTTCATATGACTTTCTTTCGAACATGGAACGCAACATTGATGTGAATTAATTCTGTTATAAATCTCGTGATACTGATATCAGAATTTTCTTCAAAATACATCATCTCCCTGTTTTAATGTTTGCTTAACACTCGTTAACATAATTGTTTGTATCTAAATGCATTTCTGTCATTCCTAAATCAAATTGATCACTTTTCATTTATAGGTCTCAATATGAAGAGATCCCAATTCTCAGATTTCCAAATTTAGCAGCTTAGCAAATAAATAAGTGCATGACCAATCATAGAGCAGATTGCATGGCATATGGTTTTACCAGAATCTTTTGAATCCTTAAAAGATTTACAAAATAAACAAATGTTGCAGTTCCACTGCAAACAAAAAATAATTCAAGTAAGTAAATTTAAAAAACTACAGTATGCTGAGTATAACAAACTGTCTTGGAAAAGAAGTAATAATTCACCAACAGTAACAGATGGACACTTGGCAGCATAACACCCCAAAATACAGCTTCAGGAGACCTTACTAATATGAAACTGCACATTATGAGCTTCACAAACCTCAGGCTGAAAAACAACCAAATGTAAAGCTGTTTGAATAGTTTGCTCAAAAAATCTCATTCATTGTTTTTGAAGCTTGTACTATGTATTCATGAAATACAAAAAATAATATTCTAAAACAAAATAGTTCCATAAACCAAATAAAAATTCCTTATGCATTATGGCCTTGGTAGCAAAGAAAGCTGGTTGGTTATATCTTGGGTTTGGTCTTTGTTTAGTAGGAACTTGGCCCAGGTTTGCCACCTTCTGCTTGGTTGTAGGAGCTGGCAGAGCTGCCAGACTGGCCCTGGTGGTCAATGGACTGGTAGGCATCTCTGTTTCGAGTTATCCTTGGAAAACCTGAAATTAAAAGATCAAAACTGTGAACCTTTGCATACTCAACAGTCATTTCAGTTTGCATTATTAAAATATATTGTTATAAAATACATCATAATTATACTTGTTTCAGAAATTGCATTCTAATTGAAAACGACTCAATAACATTCTCCAGCTGCATAAATGGAACATTGCAACACAATCTAATGGCAGTTTGTAACTGTTTTACATTTTTGCAAATTGCATGAATTCATGCACAATCTCATTCCTTCACTTTTGTACATCCCATTGACAGTTAGGGGTTTAGGGGTGGGATTAATGGTGGACCTTCATATCTTCATGCTTTTTTCCCCAAAAATATTAATTTTAGTATGATTCACTTCATATGAATTCATACAAATTCATGTTTTTCCATGAAATTGGGTTCAACATTCAGGCATGAGTTAATGAGAGTTAAACACACTTATCGCAAAACAATAAACTTACAGATGTTTTGTTCACACCATATCATTCCTGGACATCTGCAGCATATGTCATTTACACAGATAGCACTGGAGCAATATGCTAGCCTAATCTTCTTTATTCAGCCTGAAGATTCCCTTATGATAGATTAACTGAAGAAATCCCATCGCACCTCAACAGAATACCAATGATGTGATGGTTTCACTGCATTGTGAGCGATTCAGGCACAGAGGTAAAGGCTCTCAATTACATTATAGGCCTAATATCTCAGGCATGAGAAAGTGCTTTGTAAAAACAACGCATCATTGAAGAAAAGGGATCAATTTGCTTTTGCTTCCATTTATTAAAACAACTTCAGAAATCCAGTGTCAATAAATAATTTAAAATAACACAATTCTCTTATATTGCGCAATAAAAATCTAAGACAGTGTAGCAAATCAGCACTTCTGTGACCATTCAGGCAGAAAATACAACATACAGCTAGAAAATAAAGCCTCGTGTTTCACGTGGTTTGGTTCTTAATAATGTTCTTGGAAGGTTTCAACACAGAGACCCTACACCCAGACTCACAACCAACCCAAAACTTTATTTTCTATTTAACACTTTATAATAATATTAACAATTACATTAACAAACAATATTATTGAACATAAATTAGTTTTAAAAGGTGCACTTTGTTTATTTATTTTTTATCCCATTAAAATGTTTTACATATAAAAACATAATAATAATAATAATAATTATAATAATAATAATAACAATAATATTTACTTTTGAGGGTGGATATATTGATAACATGACCAACCAAATACTAATTCCTTTTGCTTCTGCACTTGCAATTTCTGTCAATTAGTAAATCAAAGTAAATCCTACACCTTTTTTATTATAAGCCTTTTATACCTTTATTTTTATTTTAAGACTATGTGACAGGTTGCTGTAAAATAATAATAATTAAAAAAAAAGTTACAGAACAATTTAACCACGAATTTGGAAATATAGTAAATATTTTATCCATCTATTTTCCATACCACTTGTCCTACTGTATGTCGAGTTGTGGGGGTGCGTGGAGCCCAGTGTCCCAGGCCATAGGCAGGGAAATAACCTGGATGCATGGCCAGTAAATATTTAATATTATATTAATCCATTATGTAAGGGATAATGCATGGCTAGCTGTGATTTGTGAAAACGATTTTAATGCACAACGTGGAGGCCAAGAACCACCTGACGCGAGCCGTACATTATCCCACTTACCATGGTAATTTCTACAAACAATGAAGTTGTTGTGAGTTTAGTTACTTAGTTACAGTGATTTTACCTCCTCATTGCTGATGAATATAATGTAGCGATCCAGTATCTAAACTATTTTATTAAAGTCGCTGGGCAGCGTTGACAAGAAGTTTCTGTGCTCCTGAATGTTTCTCTGTGTGCACAGTGCGATCTCTGATCTCTCTCTCTCTCTCTAAATTCTGTAAATTTCTGCATATTCAAATTTTGACACAGAGACTTCTTACAGAATTGATGATTCTTCTGAAACCTCATATAAACGCACACACACACACACATACACACACAGATTACACAAATGTAATGAACATCAAGCAAAAGGAAATGCACAAATAACACACACAAAAAAACACTTACACAAGACATTAAAATGCAGGAAATAATATGATGTGCTAAAAAACATAAATACCAAGACATAATGTGAAGAAGAGCAAGAAAATAAGTCAACATGAAATACACCACGGCAGCTCAGAGAAGACAACTTCCTGTTTTAGAAAAAGATGAACAGGACTGCAGGAGGAAAAGGAGGGAAGGTTCAGTAGCGACGGCTGAGCAGTGTGCTATCAGCACTGTCTGTGGTGCAGCGACTGTCCACGGATGTTTCCAGGTCTGAGAGACAGATACAGAAGACAACGAGACAGCAAGCAGGGCAGTGAATGAAGACAGGAAGTCAAGACAGAGCATGAAGGACAGGAACAAACACAATGATGATAGATGAATAATAAACACACAAAACAGGCCTGAATTTAGTGAAATGTGTCTTGAGTAGAATAACATTACTGGTTACAGTAAAACAATCATGTAGAAAATAATTTACAGTCAGTATAAACCCCAATAGATTTTGTATCCTGAAAACTAGAATTTATGCAATAATCACGATTGACGTTACACTGTTCTGTTTATTGCAGTGTTTCTCAACTGGTGGGTCGCAACCCAAAAGTGGGTCGTGGAGTGTACAGTCAAAGAAACAACATCAACAACAAAAAACGTAATTCTAAATGTTTTTCTGATACGAGACTTTTATTTTGAAAGATGTGCGTGAAAGCTGTTGACACTTATTTTGCAGTTTAAGTAAAGACTGCCTGAGAAAAACGTGCTCTCCCGATTCAGTATCTGCGGTCAGATGAGATGTTGTCAGGCTTAATGTCAGCCTCATTTTTCTATCGTTATTTTTGTAACTTATGAAATAAAAAGTCTCTCACCTCAGAAAAATGAACTATCCTGTCCTGTCAGACATTATACTGTGCTTGTAGCACGCACTCTTCAATTGCCCACGCAAATGCAGCAGTGCACGCTGTATATCATTTCACTAAAGCGCAAAAGAGAGCACGCAACTTGTGAAATAAAAGTAAAGTACCAATAAATCACACAACTGGTACTTCGTGTGTTAGCTGGGAAGGATTTGCATGAAGGTATGATATATTTAATCTATTCAGGAGCAGTTTCCACGTTTCATTAACAGTTCATGTTAGTGTATATTTTAAGGGGGTCTGAATACTTTCCGTACCCACTGTATATATAATAAAGTGGGTCGCGGCTTGATGACCATGGGAAAATCAGTTGAGAAGCACTGGTTTATTGTACAGTACGGATACGTACCAACAAAATAAATGTATATGAACTGATTTGTGCTGAAATTATTTGATCATGTTAGTGCGAAGTGAATCAATGAAAGAAACAATGGAGCAGCGAGGTTTTAACATCAGGCTCGAGTGAACTCACAATGGCGCAGCTCTCGCATACTTCACTCTCCCCCCAACGCCTCGATATTCTGGTGTGCTTCACACTTGAGGATCAGCGCCCCTCGTTGGCTGCGAGCGGCTTGATTTCCTTCGGCGCATCTGAGGAGGATGTCATCAATGACTCCATGTCATCAATGGCTTCGGATGCTGAAGAGTGGGCGTGTTCCGGCTAAGAGCCCGAAACCCCGCCTCTGATGCAGACAACATGGGCCAGTGAGCTGATCTGCGTTCTTCAGGACTACCTCAGCCCTAGCAAACAGAGCTTATTCAGCAGCTGGCCAGGTTGGCTCACACGATGGTGGTGCTTCAAGTGTTCCAGGCCAAACTTCTCCGCACCATGAGTTCCACCGCACCAGCCAGAGTTCTGATGCCTTTAGAGAGCTGCGCACAGCGACTAACCTAGCTCTACGCGCTACCTCTCACTGAGAGCAGTTCATATGCCAGGCAGAATGAACCAGGGGGCAGACATGCTGTCCAGGGACAAGGTAGCTCCAGGAGAATGGAGACTACATCCCCAAACGGTTCAAATTATTTGGTCTGTCTTCGGGAGGGCACAGGTGAACTTCTTCGCCTCAGAAGACAACTTTCACTGACCAATCTACTTTTCGAGACAGCAAGATGCCCTGACCCACGATTGGCACAGCACTCGCCTGTACACCTTACCCCCGATTGCCCTGCTTCCTCATGCCATCAGACGGGTCAGGGAAGTCAGATGTTCCGGGTCAGTTGATTCAGCTGCTATCGGCAGCCACTTGGGCGATACCACTGAGGGAGGACCTTCTCTCGCAAGTAAAGGGCATGATTTGGCATCCCCGGCCAGAGCTCTGGAACCTTCATGTTTTGCCCCTCGAAGGGAGTCTTTGCAGCTCCCCACGAGTGTAACTAATACCATTTTGAAGGCTAGAGCTCCTTCTAGAAGACGTCTTTAGCACGGAACGAGGACCCGTCCTCTTGTGATGTGTCCCACATGCTAACCTTTTTACAAAAGCTGCTGAATAAGGGGTGCACTTCTTCCACACTCAAAGTGACAGCCATCTCGGCAAATCAATCAAACCGTGGCTGGCCAATCAGTCTGACTTAGACTAATGACTTAGTCGTTAAGTTTCTGAGGGGAGCCTAGAGACTGAATCCTCCTCGTCCTCATACTGTGCCAACTTGGGACTTGTCTATAGTCCTCAGGGCCCTACGGCGCCCTTGCTTTGAGCCGCTCCAATTAGCTGACTTATGGCCCCTGTCACTTAAGACCACCCTCCTTTTGGCTCTAGCATCGGTCAAGCGAGTGGGTGACCTGCAAGCACTGTCAGTCAGTGCTTTCTGTCTTGAGTTTGGGCCAAACGACTGTAGAGTCGTCCTCAAACTGAGACAAGCAGAGACAGGATAGTGGATGCTATAGCCATGACTTACGCTTCAGAAGGCTTGCAGTGCCCTATGGGTGTGAGGGCCCACTCCACCAGAGGAATGGCCTCCTCCTGGGCTTGGTCCAATGGGATTTGGTGATATTTGTGCAGCCACCAGCTGGTTGTCGCTGTCAACCTT